TAAAATATCTCACCCATTTCTGCCTATTGAAATTGCTCATGATGATGGAAAGCGTGAAATGTTGCTTCCTCCATGAAGATTGCCCTCATCTCACCCACAACTGGAAGTGAATTCCCCTAGCATTGTTTTGGGGTTGGGTCTTTTTTGCCTCTCTTAATTACTTTTCACATTCTATTTTTATTTTGTTTCTTTCTGTCTATTTCTTATCTCCATCACTAGGGAGACTGCCTGGCACGTAGTAGGTGTTTGATAATTTTTTTGTTGATTAAAAACAATCCTCCTTTGAATGGCAGAAATCTTTTCTTTTTCATTCTCTTTACAGGAATCTAGTATGTTGTCTCACACGTAATAGCTGATTAATAAATATCTTGAAATGCATGAATGACACTCTGGCATCATCACCCACTTCACCTACCTATGACCTTATTCTCATCTGCCCCTACTTCCTTTGATGTCTTTTTCTAGGAATGATAACCTCTCTCTCATTCATCTTCAATTTCCTGCCCCCTCCTTCATTAGCTCCTTGTCATCTTGCTGCAAATAGTATTGGATTTCCCCATCCTTTTTTTTTTTTTTTGGCTAGGCAATGGGGTTAAGTGACTTGCCCAGGGTCACACAGAGCTAGTAAGTGTTATGTGTCGGAGGCCAGATTTGAACTCAGGTCCTTCTGACTTCAGGGCCAGTACTCTATCCACTGCACCACCTAGTTGCCCCTAAATCCTTTTTTTTTCTTAAAGACTTTTAATCATAACATATATGTATGGCACCTTCAAGCTTGTAAAGTGGTTCATATAAGTTATCTCATTTAACTTTCATAATAAGTCCTGTAAAGTAGATACTCTAGACATTATCCTCATTTTATAGGTGAGGAGAAGTCAAGTTATTCTTCCATGGTCACATAGCTTAAGTATCAAAGTTTGGATTTAAATTGTGATTTGCTGTGATTTGCACTGATTCCGATCCTAGCATCCTACTCTACGATGCTACTCTCCAGCAAGTTACAATCTCATTCCTCTCCTCCTCTCTATTACCAGACTCCTTTAGAAAAGGTGTCTACTCTTTTCTCAAATCCTTGCAGTCTTGTTTCTGTACTCCAGTCATTCTATTGACAGTGTTCTTCAGAAGTTACCATTTTCTTCCTCATCTTGAAATCTAATAGCGTTTTTTGAGTCCTCATCCTTAATCTTTCTGAAGATGGTGAACAGTTTTTCTAGATACTCTCTTCAATTTACTTCAAATACCAAGAGTTCATTGGTTCTTCTCCCATGTCTTTAGTTACTTCTCTGTCTCCTTTATGGGCTCTTTTTCTTCTTCCCAATCCCGACTTCTCTTTCTACATTCTCTCTCTTCACAATCTTATTTACTGCCATGACTTTAACTATCACTTCTACATAGATGAATCCTAAATCTATATCCCAAATGGGGTCACAAAGAGTCAGACAAGACTGAAAAATGACTGAACAGCAACAAAATCTATACCTGCATCTCTGACTTGTCGCTCTCAGGCTCCAGACTCACATCTTCAACTGCCTTCAGGGCATCATGGATATTTTGATGACACCACAAACATAACAGACCCCAAGTTGAACTTCTTTTCTCCCTTCCCTCAATCTGCCCCGCTTTTCACTTCACAATTTCTGTCACTAGTACTATTATTCAACTAGACCTCCTATCTTTTATGCTTCCTTCTCTCATATCTAATCATTTATCAAGCCCTGTTAATTTCCATTTCCATAAGCTGAGTCATATCCACCCCCTGTTCTCTGTTCCCCCTGCTATAATCCTAGTACATGTCTTAGTTATAATCTACCTGGACTAATGGAATGGTATTCTAACAGATTTTTCCACCTCTGTTCTCTCCCTCATTCAAACCATCCTCACATTACTACCAGACTTGTCTTCTGTATGCACAGATCTCATACTTATACTCATTCCTCTGTCCAGAATCCTTAACTGGTCCTTTAATTCACAGCAATTCAACTGGGGTCTACACATATTTATTTCCTAGTAAGTGAAGTTCAAATTCTTTTGCCTAGCATTCAGAACCTTCCATCCTCTAGAGCAGGGCTTCTTAAACTTTTTCTATTCGCGACCCCTTCAGCACTTCTTAATCTGTGAGTTGAGACCCACAGTTTAAGAAGTGTTGCTAGAGCCAACATACCTAGTCATCTTTATCTCCTACTTCCCTTTGTATATTATACAGTTCAGTCAAATTTGATGCTTGTTGTCCCTATATAAACTTTTGTAGTCTACTTGCCTTTGCTTAGTCTGTTTTACATTTTTTGAATACCTTCTGTACCATATCCCCAATTACCTTTCTTTAGATGGAAGTGGAAGGGGGTGATAGTGTTTACATCAATGGACAAGCATTAAGCACCTACTGTGTTCTTATCACCATGCTTGACTCTGATGATACCCAGACATAAACAAAGGTAGTCAGTGCACTCTAGGAACTTCACATTCTAAAGGAATTTCCCATGATAGCTTTTTTTGTTCAGTTATTAGTTCATGTCTATAGGGGAAATAAAACAGGATTCTCTGGATATCACTGAGGAGGTTCTGTAGTATTCTGGGACTTGGTGGTATTCATACAATGTCACTTACAAAGTGGAATCACTGAGGACCCTATCATCTATAGAAAATATCTCTTCTATTTGGAGTCTGCTGGAATCTTCCATGTTGGCTAACATAGGTCTTTTTCTTTTATGTCCCTCTTACTCAGAGGGCTGGCAAACAAATTTATCTCTATGATTGTATCTATCAAAGAATCTTAACATATTCATAGGAGACATCTTGTTGGAAGAAAGATTTTAAGACTACATTTTGCTCTACTGAGTCAATTTTTTAAATATAATCAGCAAACAATAAATTATTCAATATTTCATCCTCCCTAGCTTTGTCAGTTGTGTAACTGTGAAGAAATGGTATAATATAGAATTGTTTTCATATATAGAAATCCTATACCTCCCCCCACCCCAAAGTGTTAGCCATGTAAAGTTAGAAATGTTGCCTTATGCATCTCAGTATCTTTACCACTATATAACACTACTAGGGTAGTGTTATATAGTAAATACTGTGTGACACTGGGTAAATCATTTAACTTCTCTCAGCCTCAGTTTCCTCACTTGTAACATGGGGATAATAGCACTTATCTCGGTGTTGTTGTGAGGATCAAGTGAGATAATGTATATAAAGTGATTTTTAAAACCTCAATACACTCCATAAATATTAGCTATTGTTATTAGTAAGTACTTGTTGAATTGAATTAAATTAATCACCCCAGAGAAGCAAGGACCAAGAAATCTAAACACCTGCTGGAAGATGTACTTTTTATTTATGTTTTCTTTATTTCTGGGGAAATGCTGCTAGCCATTTGTAATTGTTGAGATGATACCTGAGAGCCTCTGCAAAATAGAGGAGTTTACTACCTATCCTTTCAAGGATTGGTTCAACCAAACCTTTTTGAGTTCTGCTGTCTTGGCACTTATGAAATATTCTTTGGTATAAGAGAAATAAATACACCAAGTGATACTATCAGAGGTGTTTGAACCAATTTGCAATATATAACAGGTGTTATATAGCCTTGTGGCTATCTCTAAACAGCTCTAAATCTCTTCCTCCTCCATCTGAGATATAAGTAGAACAAGTGGTTATGAAAACTGTAGGCAGTGTAGTCAAGCAGATTTGGGCTTCTATTTCCTATGTACTGTTTCTGAACCAAATATTATTGATTATGTATCCCATCTGGGTGGTCAGAGTTCACCTCCATCAGTATTGTTCTGGGTCTGCCAAAGTATGCATTTTATAGAGGTTCCCAGTGGCTCACAAGGAAAACAAAAACTTGAGCTACATTTACCTCCCTGAATACTTCTGAAATGTCTTCATAGGAATTTGAATGTGCAGTCTTCTATGAGACAGTCATCGGCTGCCAAGCAGAAGCAAGAAAGGAATATGAACTATATATCAATGGAATAGGAGGTCATAGGTTCAGGGACCCTGAGCATGCTCTGTTTCTTTTTAGTATGGCAGAAGAGCTATGTTACTGGTTTCAAGCCACCAAAATATTCCAAAAGCATTTGGATAAAATTCCAGGAATGTGAGAAAAATGAATGCTCTGGGGAAAAGCCCAGGGCAGGCTTAACCACAGTTACTGCATACCGGAACACAAATCAGCTTAAAAATACTTCATAGATAGGGAAGTTAAGCTGTTTTTGTGCTATGAAGAGTTATAATAATGCCTTTCCTAGAAATATCAGTGAGATACCAATAAGAACTATGATACACAATTTGAAGTTTGTGTGAATGTTGAACATTATATAAAGAAAAGAAACAAAATGAAATAGTAAGGGAAATGTAGAAATTGTAATTACTTTTTTTCTACTTATAATAGATAACGTCTATTTCCTAATCACCTCTATCATTCAAAATTTTTCAGAGTATTGAATTATTCATATAATAAGGTTGAACATGAATATTATTTCCATTAGGTTATTTTCTCTCTTTTTTTCATATTTGAGGTTTAGAAAATAAAAACCAAATGCAGTTATCTATTCAACTTCAGCAGCTTTTTATTCAGGCTACATATGAACTATAGCAAAAAAAATCCCAAGTAGAATATAGCTAACTTCAATATTGCATATATCTATCATATCTACCAGATTAGTGTGTATATCTTAGTGTAATAGGACACTGTGTTTGTAGTCATAAAGGTACTGCTTTGAGTTTTGGTTCTGACCCTTAGCTGTGTGACCTTCAGTAAATCACTTAACCTCTCTCAGTCTCAGTTTCTTCATTTGCAAAATGGGGATAATAACATTTGTACTATTACCTTATAGTATTGCTGTGAGGATCATGAAAGTACTCTGTAAATTGTAAGGTGCAATAAGTGTAAGTTATTGTTAGTAAGTTTTTAACCCATGATTCCATAACTATTGTTGAATAAGTATAGCCACCCCTACCTTTTTTTTCTCACCTCTCTCTTCACTCCTTTCTTTCCTTAGGCTACTATAACAATAGTACCAAAGTGGCTGTGAAAACTCTGAAGCCAGGAACCATGTCTGTGCAGGCATTTCTAGAAGAAGCCAACCTCATGAAAACACTTCAGCATGACAAGTTAGTGAGGCTCTATGCTGTGGTTACCAAAGAGGAGCCCATTTACATCATAACAGAATACATGGCAAAAGGTAAGCATCTACTATTTATCCCAGTAACCATATTTTAAATAGTTAAATGATTCTACCAAAGATCCCTCTTTATGACATGCAAGAGACTGCAAGTGTTCAAAGGCTAAGTTAGCAATGCCCAAACTCCAGAAGGTGTTAATTAATAAGTGGAACCAGTTTTGAGGGTAAGCTCCTGGTGGACTTAGTGTTTATAGTCAGTGTACCAGTTCAAGTAGGTGAGGGAAACTCATTTTGCCCACCAAATGACAAATGTTTTCTTGGCTATGGGAACAGATGAAGACCACTTACTAAGACATGAAGTAGTGGAACATATAAAAACCGTGGATATTTGGAAATATTGAAGTGTCTGATGCTCATTTTCTTAGATTAACTTCCAAATAAGAATATTTTTATTACATAATTTTAAAATGTGAACTCTAACTTCCCAAACTAGTTATTTTTAATTTTATACCTTCTTGCATCATCTATGGACCTTGAGAATTCACTGGCTCTGCCGTCTTTGTGTAGGCATTCCATCCTTTTGTCTAGATATCAACCTACATATGCCTTTTTCATTCTGTGTAATCCTTGTCCATTTTCTTTTACCAATCCCAGATACAGGACAAGATATCTTGTAGATATCAGTAAAAGACTCATGTTTCCATGCTTATCATGCCTGGTTCTTGTCATTTGACAAGACTCTCCTTTTTGAAACCCTTAGTAATTTAGTAATAGTTGTTATCTTACTAAAGCCTACTTAACTCATTATGTGATATATTTCTATTGCCCTTTGGATTGCCTACTCTTACGATTCCTTTGAATGTATGGAGTTATCTGACTCATTGCCAATGATTGCCATCATTGGAAGAATATTAATGTTTTAAGACATAGGCTTTGGTGGCAGGAAGTAGCAACTGTAATACTTTAAAATGTAAATCTTAAAAAAAATCATCTAGCAAGCTCTTATTCTTGTGAAATTAAAAAAAAAATAGTTAGAAAACTATGAAACAATCACCCAACTCTGCTTTCTTCATGTGTCTGTCTACCCAGGAATACAGTTACTAAGAAATAGTCAAATCGACCAGAAAGCAGCTGTAGAAAAAAAATGAGACAAATATATCAAGAAATTAAGAAGTCCTGGGAATGATAGAGAAATGACTATATTGTTGCTACAGAGCTGATCAGAAACATTATCTCCCATTCATGTTAGTAATACTAGAGATCAGTCAATCAAAGTCAGTCCAGTTTTAAGAAGTCTTTAATACTTGAGACTTTAAGAAGTCTTAAAGACTTAAAGAAAGCCTTACTCTTGGGGTGTAGGATCCTGCTGCTCTCCAAACCAGATCAGTATTGGCCTTGAACCTTAATGTGAATGCCTCATGGTAGTAAACAGAAATCTTCCAAGGATGTTTAAGGACAGATTTCTACTTCAGTAGAAATTCAGTAGTTTAACCTAATCCTGGAAGACTATAGATTGACAGAAATCTTAATTTAGAAATGGATCTTAGAGGCCATCTAAGCCATCCCCTTCATTTTTTTGATGAGGAACTTGAAGGAATCAAGTGACTTGTCCAAGGTCACCTAGTGGGACTTAGCCAAGCCAGAACTGGAACCCAGCTCATCAAGCTTTAAATTCAGCACTGTGTTCATTTCACCATGCTGCTTCCCTAATAATAATTAGCATTATAGTAGCAATAACATCAAAATTGAAAGTGGAAGGGGCGGGGGAAGGAAACACAATGATTTTTGTATTGTTTTTATTGGAGCATTCAGAAAATGTGATAGCTAATTCACAGGTATTTTATTTTTAGACAAGACTAATTGAGAGAGAGAGAGAGAGAAACAGAGAAACACCAAGATACAGAAAATCAGAGACAGAGAAACAGAGAGTCAGAGCCCCACAGACAGAGTCAGAGCTACAGAGACAGAAAATGAGGAAGACGGAGACAGAGTCAGAGAGAATATCTATCTATATCTTAATATCTATATCTCTCATTAACATCCCATTTGAAGCAATCCCTATTTTGACATATATTTTTACATTTGTGAAAGATATGAAGAATAGGTAGTTGACTTTACCTTAGGGAAAAGTATTATGACTACAAAACTTACAAAGCCTCAGAATTTAGAAAAGTGATGGTAATTTAAATTTAGTCTGAATTTTCCAGAGAGGGTAGGAAGAAATAGCACTGACTTCTTGTTCTACAAATAGGGAGTTTGCTGGATTTCCTGAAGAGTGATGAAGGTGGGAAGCTGCTGCTTCCGAAGCTAATTGACTTTTCAGCACAGGTAAATTTACTAAAAATTTAAGTGTCTACTGGTTTACGGATATCTTCTAGCCTTGAATTTTATGTTAGGTTGTGTAAAATGTGTTATTCTGGGGAGCCAGATTTCCTATCAGTATTTCCCCCATGGAATAGCACATTCAGAGATGCATTCAGACATACATTTCTTTTGGAGAGAAGAAAGAATGGATATTTCTGAGAGAATCCTAATATATTAAGTGTGCTTATCCTTCAAACTATTAGGGCTTGATTACCCATGACTTCATTCTGGTTTTTATGGAAATAAGAGATATTTTGGATGTCTTTATGAAGAGCTTTTATATTTCTAGTTCTAGCCATCTCCTCTGAGGCCAATTAACCTCTCTTTAGTCATTTCACCACCTGGAAAATGGGAAAAATAGAACTGAATTGCCTTCTTTGTGGGGAATTTATGAGAACTGATTTAATGCTAGTTAAGTAAAGCACCAATTGTACAAATAAATGTCTGGTACTATCAAGCTGACTGGTTCATACATTCAAACATTCAGAATTCTCAGAAAACAGTGATAATTAAAGGATTTCTTTTCCCTTTTTTTTCTTACATACTAGAGTGACTAGTCACATGTTTCTGAGAGATTTTAATTGATCTGTAATCTTTTCAATGGTGGCCAAGTGTGTTTTTAGGTTTTTTTTTAATATAATTTGAGTATGCATGAGAGCAGAGGCAATTTGCCAAGAAATCCACCTGACTTCCTGTAGACGTAGCATAACTGTTGACATCTGACAGTTTCCTTATGTTTATTAGATGCATATAGATTTTTGTGTTTGTTTAATTCTCTGTATTGGTTTATGTGGTGATGCATGAAAGGCCACTTTCCTTATATTACATTATGTTACATCTTACATTATTAAAGTATAATGTAACATAAAAGAGAATTGTTGAAGTTCTGGAAGAAATATGTTTTACATTTTTTAATCTCCTACCCTGTTCCTCTTTGTTTCTTCTTGAGCTCTTTATCTCTAAAAGCATTTCACAGGAAAAATTTGAAAAGGGCCTTTTGTAAATAACAAATCATATTCATAGGAAATGATAATTGCTGGTGATGCTAGCATACTATGTAGGAGCACATTTTACCCACGTTTTTAAACTAATAACACATGTAGTATAGTATTGGGTGGGAGTTATAGCTATTCGTTATAACCAAGGGAATGGAAGCCTTAATGAATGTGGCTGTCTCCCTTGTCTCAGCTTCTTGGAATCCCTAGCTTTTCTCACGGCTTAGCTCAAAGGTCACCTCCTACACAAGGCCTTTTCTGATTGCTCCCAGTTTCAAGACAGTCAACAAGCATTCAGCTTTTATTATACTTACCTATGTATGTTATTTTCTTCTAATGGAATGTAAGTCTCCATAAGACAGGTACTACTTTGTTTTTGTCTTTTGAATCGCTGACACCTACTATCATTCCTGGACCATAGTTGGCTTTTAAATGCTTGTTGAATGAATGGATGCATGCTAGTTGAAGTAGTTCTAAATAGAATGTGCTTTTAGCACAGTGAATAGAGCACTGGTCCTGGGGTCAGGAGGACCTGAGTTCAAATATGGCCTCAGACACTTAACTAGCTCTGAGATTCTGTGCAAGTCACATAACCCTTCCTGCCTCCCATAAACAAACAAACAAATAAACAGAATGTGCTTTATCTGAACATACAAAGGGTTAAACTTCAGGAGCATTTTGTTGTTGTTCTTGAATAGAGTGAGCAGAAAGGAAAGCTAGTCAGAACTTACTCTTGTATCTCCTTAAAGACTACCTGTCTGGTACTCATGCTTTACTTACCAGGCCCTCAAATGTTTATATAATTCTATCTTTCTTATCTTTCTCTAGTCTCCCCACTTAGAATGAAAATCTCAGGAAAAAGACAAAAATGCTTTAGATAAATTACAGTGCTTGAGTTCTGGGGGGAACTAATACATAGCAATTTAGATTGCATAATATCTTACTGACCTTTCTTTGCCTCTATGATAACCATCAACTTAGAATTGGGAAATTCTGTAGTGTACATGAGCCTACAGTCAGCATATTTTCAGACTTCCTAGTAGAAGTTTTAAGTACATCAAGTGGAGAGTGGGATGGTAAGAAAAGGTACTGTTTATCTGGATGAACCACAGCACAACTCTGACGGAGTTGTCTAGTATAGGATGACGAGCAGAGAATTGTTCCCCAAAGCCTTATTGCTCATCTATTCTCCTCACCAGAAGAAATTTCAGATTCCTCAGTCCACAATTTCCCTTCCCCTCCCCACTGGAAACAGGAAGTTCGGTGAATACACATTACAACATCATACTGTATGAGCAATGATGTTATCACTTCCTGGTTTTGAATAGTTAGGGAAGGAAAAGCTCTTCTGATATTCAGGAGTAACCTCTTCCCAACTTGACTTCTAGCCCTTTTGGCCAAAATCATTTTCCTTTCTTTTCTTCTCCTTCCAATATGACACTAACTAGGTCATTCCTAATTCTAATCAGATTTGCTGTAGAGCTTCACTTATCCTGCAAATAAATGGGGCACTTTCGTTCTTTTTTCAGTGAAAAGGAGGATTATTTCCTTATTAGAGAGACCAAGCCCTGAGGGAGTTTTATGTTCTCAGCACAGAGATGCTGTATGTACTTCTCCCTTCTGGTTCTCCATTTTAAAAATAGATGCTTTATTGATGCCTTTTTTGTATCACTATCACTTCCTGAAACCCTCCCTCCTCTACCACCACTGCCTTTGAAACTTCCCTTGTACAAGTCACTCAATCAATAAGCATTTATTAGGCTTCTACTATGTGTCAGGTACAAACTTGAATACAGCTGACAATCTATGCCTTATTTGATACTATTTAATAATATGCCTTATTTAATCATAGATTTAGAGCTAGTAGAGGACATCTAGTACAATTCCTTCATTTAACAGAAGAGGAAACTGAGACCTAGAATGGTAAAACGACTTTCCCAAGATCATGTGGGTAGTAAGTGGTTTTGAACTCAGATCAACTTGATTCCAAATTCACCACCACTTATTCCACTGTATCATAGTCTATCTATCACTGCTGAGAAGAATGAACTATACCTTACTAGCTGTCCTTTGTAATCAAAACTGCTTATTAAGTAGACTAGAGTTCTGATGTCTTTCAATGATGTTTTCTTTTACATTATTGTGGTCACTGTGTAAATTGTTTTCTTAGTCTGCTTACTTCAGATTTCAGTCAATATCAGATCAAGTAATCAATTGACAAGTAATTACTAAGCACCTACTATGTGCTGGGCACTGGGGATACACAGGCCAAAAAACTGAAATAATCCTTTTTCATATACATCTTCTTACTATGCAACAATATTCCATTGCATTGATGAGCTGAAATTGATTCAACATTTCCCCATCTGTTGGGCACCTTCCTTGCTAGTTTTTGTTTGCTTATTTGTAAAACAAAAAGTGCTACTATAAATATTTTTGTGTATATGGGATCTTTCCCTCTAGCTTTGACTCTCTTTAGGTATATCCCCAATATATTCATTGGAATCAAATGGTATGTCAGCTTAATTACTTCTCTAGCAAAGTTCCAAATTGTTTTACTGACTAGTTGGAACAGTTTTGAGCTACACCAGCAGTACATTAGCTTACACATCTTCCCACAGCCCTTTGAATATTTATCATTTTCATCTTCTGTCATCCTTATCTTTTTTGCCAATCTGATGAGGACAAGGTAAAATTTTAGCATTGTTCTCAAAGAGAAGGGAACTAACACCTTGTGGGGGCTTATTTAAGCAGCAGGGGATGAATGAGAGCAGTTATACAATCATAAAGTTGTAGAGTTAGAAGAGACCTTAGAAATCACCTCATCCATATCCCTCTTTTTTTAGTGGCCTAGAGAGGTAAAGCTGATCTTTAAGAGTGTCAGAGTTTCCAGAATGAGAGAATAGTATTATTCCTATCTTAATCCTAGTGCCTTCCCTTTGTGAATTGTTTAGTATGTATCCGGTATGTATGTAGCTTGCTTTGTATATGTTTGCATATTGTCTTCTTCATTAGATTGTAAATTCCTTGAGGGTAGGACAGTCTTTTGCCTCTTTTTTGTATTCCCAACACTTATCATAGTGCCAGGCATATAGTAAGTGCTTAATAAATGTTTATTGATTATTATAATCTGACCTGGTCAAAGCATATCTGGAAAATTATGTTTAGTTTAGGGCATCATGTTTTAGGGATAGCCTTTCTAGGTTGGAGCTCATTCAGACGATGCTGATCAGAATAATGAGGAGACTAGAGACCATATCCTAGGAGGGCAAAGTGAAGGAACTGGGGACAAAAATAATTAATGGGGATAAAATGCTGTTTTCCAGTAACTAAAGGATTTCCAAGTAAAAGAAGTATGCTGCTTGGTCCTAGAGGGCAGAAATGGGAACAATGGGCAAGACTGGCAGAAAGGCAATTCTCAGTAATGAAAAACATCCCAATAATTAGAGGTGACAGCTAAGTGGGGCAGTGGATAGCATGTAGTATTTAGAGTGAGGAAAATCTGAGTTTATATTCTGCCTCAGATGTTCAGCTGTGTGACTCTGGGCAAGTCACTTAACATTTCCTCATCTGTAAAATGGGGATAATGGCAGCACTTACCTCCCAGGGCTATTGTGAGGATAAAATGAGATCATATTTATAAAGTGCTTTGCAAGCCTTAAAGCACCATATAAATGATGACTTACCATCATCCTCATTATTGTTGTCAAGAATAGGCTGCCTCAGATGGTGATGGGTTCCCTTATTCTAAGTGAATGAACATTTGTCATTGATGATTTGAAAGGGGTTCTTCACTTCAGATTCTTCTAAATGACCTCGAAGTATCATCCAGATCCAAGTTGCCCCAAGTTGTAGCTGAAGTATCCATAGCAAACAATGGAGAAAAGTCACAAAGGGCTTTTGACTCCAAGCAGACCAGAATGCAAGAACTAGGAAATTTGGTTTCTAGAAAGGATGCAGGGTGAGTTA